GGGGGCGGGGAACAACATAAAGCCAAACTGTTGATAGCTTAAAAAACAAAAATCCCATAAAATTAGAAAAAAAATAGACACTAGAAGTATCTTGGTAGATACCACTATTTGTAAAGTTAGAAAAGATAACTTGATCAGATACTAGAATGTATTTTCTTTTGTCCTCGTGAATTTTCCTGTACTCAACTGACTGCTTTTTTACCCTTGTCTCCTAAGCAAATATGGCTTCTTCATCCATGCTCAGCACATGAATATGTATGTGAGTGTCCTATTCCAGCTGAAGAAAAATCTTGAATCAATGTTTGCATCTTGTTAGAGGCCAATGAATCTAACTGCAGGCACAAAGCCATAGGAACCCATGTTTCATTAATGGCGCTGCTCGGTGAGCAGCTTCATAAAATCTAAGGAAGAATGGGTCAGCATCCGACCCTGGGGTTTTATTTGTGTACTCAAGTCTCAGCATCCGCAGGAGTCCACGCCTACCCTACATTTTATCAGGAGTCACACTATTTTCTCCAGTGAAGCCACACATTAATTCTTCCCTATTTCTGCAGTCTCCCCAGATCAAAACTTTAAGCAGATTTAACCTTACATTTCTGAGTGCACATCACCTGTAAACATGCGAACTGTGCACTAGACGACACGGCACATTGAGAGAACCTCTTTACTTGGCCGTAACTTCTTAAAATAAAATACAGTTTGTTAAAAGCTGTCGGTTGTTCCACATACAGAGATCTTGCCTTCTCTTAAAGGCTGGCTGAAGTTTAGGAAATGTATGTTATGCTTCGGAAAAAGACAAGGAGGTCTGGGTGGTGCAGGCTGGCACAGAGTGGATTCACTGATCACATCCTGCAGGAGAAACCACACCACAGAGCCATGTGACCAGCACCCAAGTTTTCACCTCAAAACTCTAGCAGAGTGCAAAGGGACACGGAGGAGTTTTCGCTTTGAGCCCTCTGCTGTGACTCCTACATTCTCTAACACATCTCCATTTTGGCGCCTAACCTTGGTAAACAACAGTGTCTCCCAGTAGAGAATACAACCTCAGGGTTGCTAAGAGTTTCATGTAGTTGGAGAAGAGACTGCTTTATGTACCATCATCACCGCTAGCCACTCACGGAAGTCCATTTCTGCAGTTACTTCCCCTGAGGTCAGGTCCTAACAGCCAGTCCTGGACTAAATCCATCTCAACGCAACTTCCACATTAGTACAACGCAGCCACATGGTTTCCTCACTGAGAAAGGTCAATCACAGTTCTGTCTTCGGTTAAGATTCCCATCAATCTGACTATGGAAAATTCCACTCTGTTCAATTACCACCAGGATGACTGAATCTGGTGTAAGAGACAGGGATTGGAAAAACCTCATTTCCACTCCATTCCCAGTTGCCATAGGGCGGCCTAACACCAAAGATGAGCCTGTTCCCTTCCAAACACAACTGGCTGCATGTTCTTCCTGGCCTCCAAAGGAGGAGCCTCAGCCAAGGCCATCCCTGTGCCCTGCTGCGGCAACTCTGTGGTGAAGTGCCACAGCAGCCTCTTAGCACGAGCCAAGTCATCATTCACACAGACCAGGTGCAGTGAAAGACCAGGGTGCTACAGACCTGCCTGCGGGCTGCCAACTGACTCGCTCCTTCCTGAGATACATCCATGCTCGCCGCACGCAACAGGGAGGAAACGCACCCCAGCCACAGTTATTCAGCCGATGGCAGCCCAGCGACGTGCCCCCATGGCCTTGCTGTGGGCAAGCACAGGGTGCACCTCCATCATCAAATGCTAAGTTTGCTCCTGGTCCTCCACTTCTCCTGACAGCCACACTCAAGACTGGTTAGTCCATACCGAAGACTTTTTGTTGAGTGAGACAAAGGACTTCTCCAAAACCAGTCTTTTCTAAAACATGGGCATGAGCCCTGCAATGCCACATACCAAGGACTGTTGTGTGCGTGTCGTCATCCCCCCAGGGGAGATGCCTTTTGCAAGGCAGACCCAGGCTCAGACTCCTTTCCTTGGGACAGCCAAGACCTCCTCGCCTGCTCAGGTCTTCAGTGGATGAGACTGGTGCTTTGCACTTTCTTCAGAAGAAAAAGAGACAACGAAAGGTCTGCAAATTGCAGGACGATGAGCACAGCAAGGACACTAGCTGCCTTCCTGTTGCATTCAATACACAGAGCTGTATTCTGCAAACTAGGTATTTTTAAAGAATATAATATATTGGAGGTATTCTCAAGGATAAGTATTTATAAAGAGAGTTTAGCAAGTAACAACTGGACAAGACAGAATTCAGCCACTATGCCTACAGCTGAATTTACTCAGTTTGAAAGTGTATCACAACTTCACTGAAAGAACAGTATCGCAACAGGGACTGCCAAGGATAGCTGAAGTTACAGATGGCAACACATAAATACAGTTCACATATTGCAATAAGATGCTGGTAACTAAGACTTGTGCGACATCTGCGCTGTGGCCCAGAAAAGAAAGTCTTCTCTCACCATGTACAGCAGCATCCAATCCCACAAGTATTTTACTATGGAGGTTGGGAACTTCTCCCCTGGTCCACTAGACACTGGCCACTGCTGCAAGCAGGACAGTAAATCTGACAGACCAATGGTCCGATCCAGTGTATGAAACTCTATGCACTTGTGATCATGTTACC